AAGTCCAATTTAAGTGGAGCAGTGTATATTAACTGCACTCGACACTTCTCCACTGAAATCACCATACAGTATAGTCTAAAACACTCTCTTACTACTTGGAATGTGCATTCTAAAAAAAAAACACCGGAATTGCAGAGTTCAAGGTTAAGATGTGTGAGTTAAAATGAGTAAACGTTTAGGGGAGGGGTGATGTGGAACAAGACGAAAGTTTTTAGTAATATCCCTTTGTCAAAATCAAGTTTTTTTTGTTTTTAAATCACGTGTTATTAAAACTAATTAGACAACGAAAAATAAATGAAGTGGTTTTCTAAATATAGAAACCTTTTAATGAAGTATCAGAATAATTGACACAACGAAAACTAGAACCGTCGGTTATCTGTTGTTTTGTTTTTTTGTAGTCTGTTTGTGTCTTGTTTCTTATTTGTTTGTAGTATGTTTCTAATCGGTTTATGTTTGTTTTTACAATTCGTTTTTTCTGTTGTTGTTACCGTTTGGCTTGGGTTTTTTTTTTATTTTAGTTAAACCTTAAGCGTATGTACCCCTGTGGTTGATGTGACAATTTGGGCATCTGTGTGTTTGTAGGCAGTGTTTCTTTCAGAATTTTTTCTCCTAGGCGCGAGGGGGGGGGCGCACTTGAAAATACCCCAAGGGATTGGGGGGGGGGCGGTAGATGTGCGTCGATGGGGAGGGGGGGGGGACTCTTGTATGTGTGTATTACCTCCATATGTTCAGGTTAACATGCTTTTCAATGTATTTTGAAAACATTGGTACTGGCTACCCCTCCCTCTCTCCATTGAGACCATTTAACTATTTACTCCATCATCATTCCAATGTTACGAGATATAGATCTATGTATTGGGAAAGTTAAAAAAAAAAAAAAAAAATTCTTATTTTTTTTTTTTTAATTTATTTTTTTTTCTTTAATTTTTACTTTCTCGTATATACGTAGTATAGAGAAAGTATTGTAATCGTGCAAAAAAAAATCGAGATTTTTACAAATCTCGACGTTTTACACCTCACTGATACGGAAAAACATAATTTTGCAATCTTGTCCGTATGTCTGTGTGTGTGTCTGTGTGTCTGTGTGTCCGTGTGTAAACACGATAACTTGAGTACCGTTACAGCTAGGTTGATGAAATTTCATATATAAGTATTTTATCAAAATCGTAGATCCGTATCAACTTTTGAGCGATTTCCGACAACCGGAAGTGGTACTTTTTCTACTTTGAATTTTTCAAAAGCCTATAACTTGATTACTATTTCAGATAGATAAATGAAATTTCACATGTAAGTAAAAGATCTAATTCTCTACCTTCTGTTAAATTTTGAGTAATTTCCGTTGACCGGAAGTAGTAATTTACGCTACTTCCGATTTCTCAAAAAACTAATGTAAATTTTTAAAGTACTAATAATATTGCGCACTATTATGCGCTTTTTTATTTCGCGTTCACTTGGTGTGTAATTAATTTGTCTACGAGATTTTATTCTATTTTTAAAACTTTAAGAATTTAAAATGGATTAAAAATCATGTCTATAGCCCGAGTTCCCATCCCCTGTTATTTTATATAAGAATATTCGAGAAAGTTTAGGGGAGATCACTCCCGGTTTATTGATGTTCGAAATCATGCAAAGAATTTGATGTTGATGTACAGTGAAGTTTCGCTTTTTTACTTTCTCGTATATACGAAGTATAGAGAAAGTCTTGAAATCGTGCAAAAAAAAAAAAATCGAGATTTTTACAAATCTCGACGTTTTACATCTCACTGATACGGAAAACCATAATTTTGCAATCTTGTCCGTATGTCTGTGTGTCTGTCTGTCTGTGTTTGTGTGTGTGTCTGTCTCTCTGTGTGTAAACACGATAACTTGAGTACCGTTACAGCTAGGTTGATGAAATTTCATATACCAGTATTTTATCAAAATCGTAGATCCGTATCAACTTTTGAGCGATTTCCGATAACCGGAAGTGGTACTTTTTCTACTTTGAATTTTTAAAAGCTTATAACTTGATTACTATTTCGCATAGTTAAATGAAATTTGATATGTAAGTAGAATATCTATTTCTCTACCTTTTGTCAAATTTTGAGTAATTTCCGTTGACCGGAAGTACTAATTTACGCTATTTCCGATTTCTCAAAAACGCATGTAAATTTATAAAGTACCAATAATATTGCGCACTATTATGCACATTTTGTTTTGGCGTTCGCTTGGTGCGCAATTCTTTTTCTACTAGATTTTATTCTATTTTTAAATGTTTAAGTAAACAAAAATCATGTCTATATTCCGAGTTGCCATGCCACGTAGTATTATATTAGAATGTTCGAAAAAGTTTAGGGGAGATCACTCCCGATTTATTTTTTTTAAATTTAAACCTGAAGGTCTATGGGGCAAGTGAAGTAGAGTTCACTTTAAAAGAAAATTATATATATATATATATATATATATATATATATATATATATATATATATATATATATATATATATATATATATATATATATATATATATATATATATATTTATTTATATATATATATATATATATATATATATATATATATATATATATATATATATATATATATATATATATATATATATATATATATATATATATATATATATATATATATATATTTAAAGAAACAAGGTAATTAAAAAGTCTAGTGACAATTTTAGCGCAATTTCCTTATGTTATCTAAAATAGCTCTGTCGTAGCGTAAATCAAGAGCAAGGTTAGTAAAACCATTGCTTAATTATTAGACCGTTTTTTATTAATTTTTTTCAGTATTTTAATGTTTTATTTACAATAGAGTTACATGACTAAAAACCATTGCGCGCCTAGCTACTGAACGTGATGGCGCAGCTATTGAACGTGATGACGCGTGTGGTGTGGTTGGATAAAAATGCCTACTAATTCGGTCCAAATTTTAATTAATTCAAAAATTTTTTTGTGACCGAACGAAAGGATATTTTTGAAAACTTTCTTCGGCAGTATTGTTCAAAATTATGGCAGGAATCGATTGGTACATGGTTCAAGTCGCTAAGTGGTCTGGTTGCCGAGATATGGGCCAAAAACTGCATTTTTTTCGAGGTTTTTTTGGGCTTTTCCGGGAAATCCATGAAAGAAACCCGGAATTGTATTGGCCTATGTTCATCCTCGTAACTTGCTTAACATAATTGCTTTTGGAACTAGTCCTCGATATTGCTTCGTTGAGGAGGAGATACGACTTAAAGCTGCGGACACACATCCATACATCCAGAAATGACGGGTTAATAAACGCAATTCTCCAGAATGGAAATTGCGCTAAAAAATTATAAAAATCACAACACTGCGAGAAAAGTAGATAATAAAATATCTTTTTAATAATTAAAAAATTACGAAGTGAATATAACTAAAAGTTTTCGTTTTAAACTAGAGTCGGGTAATAATTTTAAAATCTTTGTACATCAAGAATAGAGAAAAAAATTCATACCTTAAGTTTTATGCTCGACTTTAGAGAAATGAGTAACAATGATAATTATTAAACATTTTTTTCACTCTGCGTGTTTAAGCACATTTTGAAAATCCTCTCATGGTTGTCTCCCCTATTTTAATTTTTTATTTCATATACTAGAAGTAGTTAACCCAAATTAATATTCAATGCATTGTACATTCTGTCTAAGCCTATAAACATTGATATAATACATTATTAATATATTATTAAAAAATTCAGAATTTTGAAACCTGAGTTAATTTTTATTAATATATATGTTTGCTGCAACACAACGAACTAAAGTGATAAGGTGACAGTCGGTAGTTTCATCCAAATTCTCTATCTATAGCATTAAAAAGGGCGACGTAGACTAGCGGTAGAGAGCTAGACTGCTAACGAGAAAATCACGAGTTCGAATCCGGGTTTAATTCAGTAGAGCATCCCTGAGTCCATACAGCTTCGATGCGTACCAAATCCACACTATCCCCTTGTATACCGGGGTCATTGAAACAGATGAACTCTACTTCATCTGCTCCGTGTGTCTTGGGCACAAACAAGAAAAATGATGAATGATCGCATAACAATATTTAAAATTTGCAATTTGAGTAAGAAAACAAAGCCTAGGATTGTTCGACTGAAGATCGACCTATTTCACCAGTTACTGGTCCAATCATCTAGGGATCGAATCGCCTGGGTTCGAAATGATCGAATTCGAAAAGAAATAGAATGGAACGGCGTGGTCGATTGGTAGAGCATACAACTTCTCGAGTTAGAATCCGGGTTTGAGTCTGTAAACGTCTCCGAGTCCATCCAGCTATAACGGGTACCTAACTCAGGGAAAGTAAAAGCGGCTGGACATAGTGCTGCCGACACTATCACTTCATATCTCTACTAATAACTTGCCCCAAAGGCCGTCAGGTTTGAAACGGAACTTCACTTCTAACGTAACAGAAACATTCACCGTTGTGGTAGCTGATGCATCGCAGACATTTGATGATGTCGATTTCTGTTCAATATTTTTGACGACTGTCCCAGCACGCACCACAATGACAAGCGCGCCTTCTACTTTGGATACCACCACCCTCCTCATATAATTTTGCATTTTCAGTTTGGTGTCAGCCCTCTCCCTACTGTTAAAATATTTAAACTTGATAAACATTTTTCTTGACATTAAATTTTACGATTTTTTGTTGTAGTATCATCCCCCCCCCCAACCAATTTATGTCACCCGGTGCTGACCGCTTCCCCCCTCTCCCGTCTTGTGACGTCACTAATTGCATAACTACCCCATAACTCTTTTAATAACATGAAGAATAAAATTATCAAATAATTTTAAAAAACCTCTTTACACAAGAAATAGCGCTTGCTAGTTTGTAACAGCACGAAAACTCGCTTATCTAACTTGGTAAACAGGTGATCTCCCTTGTCTAAAGGTGTGTAGCGCGTGACCTCCTTTTGCACAGGTAACTGCGCGGGACTTGCAACACAGGGTGGCAAAAACACGATGACACACGCAGGTAACCGTTTAGAAAAAAAAAGTTTGGCGTCCGCTTCCTGTTAGAATAAATGTGTTTTGTTTTGTTGGTCTAAATATGACATCAAAGTCGGCGTGCTGTAACCTCGCATCTGATGTGATGTGTAACGTGTGTCGTGTGTTCTTGTAAATGATGAGTCCGTGGATTAAGTTGATAAACAAAGCTCAAGGTTCGCTAGATCAAACAGCGACTCAAGTTTACAGGCCACTCGTTTTTTATGTACGCAGTTAAGACTTCTTAGGCCTGATGGTGATAACGATTTTATATTAATGCAGACTTTTTCGAGGAGAGAATTATAGGAATACTATGGTATTTGAAGGCTTAGGAAGGTATGTAAAACACACACACACACATGCGTTTTATCTACACAAATAAAACGGTAGACAGATACAAATTTATATCATTTTTATATGTGTTTTATTTACACATAGAACAAGTGTAGGCAGGTATGTAAATATACATGTTTTTATTTACAAAAAAACTGTATGCAGGTATGTAAAATACATGAATTTTATTTACACACACAAAAACTGTAGGCAGGTATGTAAATATACATGTATTTTATTTATACACAAAACAGTAGATTTGAAAATTATTTTAAGAACTTACCAAATTTTGTTTAGATATGGCAGAATTTGGATTTGAGAACGCGTTTTCACATTGATGTAGGAAGTTCATAATTTGCAGCTGTAGTATTGCTATGTTATTGACATATTCTAGATCTATATGGTGGTTTCCTTTTTGTTAGCATTGCCAATTGGGTATACCATTCGAATCGTCCTTAGAGGATTTCATAGTGTCAGCCGCCAACCAATCAAACGCGCGCTTTCTCCGCGTTTTGGTTGGCGGCTGACGTCACGGTGACGTCACGCGACGCGTTTCTGGAGCTAAAAAGGGCCGAAAAAGCCATTTTTTTCTACGTGTAGTTCGGATTTTTTTACGTTTTTTAAAATGGGCCCGAAAATGACACTTTTTCAAACTGGACTTAGCCATTTTTTCAAACAAATTTATCGAAAAAAGGCCGTTTTGGGTGATTTTTGGATGTAAACAATGGCCTAGGTCAACACGTGTCAAACCACGTGAAGGCACCCAATCGACGATTTCGGTCACGCATGAGTGGTTTTCATAGTTCTCGTGAACTAAATACCAGTTTCTTGACAACAAAATGGAAAACGACAATTTCGTGAAAATAACGACCCTGGAGGAATGGCTCTTGAAGATTATTAAATAAAAATCGGTGTGTTGGCTCTATGTAATGATTCTAAACTTGTCTATAATTGACTAGTAGGGCATGCTGAAACAACGGCCTGAGGGCGCCGTGTAGTGTGTAGTTTTGCTAAATGTAAATTAATCAGCCCAGCCGCAGATCAATCGCAAACTGTTAAAATGGTTGGATGTGAAAAGCTTCTACTTACAAATTACTTCTGAATAATCACATCACACAAAATAATCCCAAAGAAAGCACAAAATAAAATCCGTTAGAAAAGCATCACCATGAAATTTGAAAACCACGGTATGTCAACCTTAACCAGCCATCTTTGGCTTGATCTAGAGGTCATTCTTTAGCCTACACATGTGTCTTGTCAACAAATTTAGTTTCTGATGGTACACGACATTTAGATAAATATAATATAACAAACTAACTGAATTCCAACATTATATCCATCTAATCCAATATTGAAACAGAATTTGAAGCACAATGATCTAACGAATAAATCCAACTCTATGCGAGTGTCGCAGCTTTAGTCCTGGATACAACCATAGTGTGTAGTCGTGTTGTGAGTAAATTTGCACGAGATACAACACCGACCTAGACCTTCCTGATGTGTATGGCCCCAAAATGCTGGGAGTAGGGGAGGGCAATTTAACACCAGAACAGTTTTTTTTTTCAATAGTTAGGTCATCAGTAGTTCACGCGGTTCACCAGTTCACGCATCCTAACGGGGTTGAAAGTGTAACTTTAAATTGAACTAGGCGAGAGGAGGAGGGTGAGGTCATTTAAACAACGGAGCTATATTTCTAGTAGAAGAATACGGGGAAATCATAGCTTGAAGTTTGAAGCCGGCATTTCATTTTTTTCATTGTTATTGAGTACAGCCCTTTAATGCACGACTAGGCTACTCATTATGAAATCTAAAAATGTAGTTGTGCTACCATGCAAAAGTAGCCTAATAGGTCTTGTTTATTTAAATGCAGATCCTGTTAGCCTAAAAATATTTGAATACACATTTTAGTTATATCGTAATGATTAATGTTATAATACAATGCATATATTCTGATAGTCCTTCAAGTTTTTGGGCAACCCATAACTTGTATTTCAAATTTATAATGAGCGGGATGCACTCGATGTTTTAAGTGCTACATTCGGTAGCTGTTACTTTATGTATGACAGCATCCCAATAGTTCACTGTTAATAATGTAAACTGAGCTTGACGAGATTCCCATCGCCAAGCAATCGTATGATAGACCCAGCAAGCATCACTCGTTAAATTCGACATCATGGCTATACCAGTCCTTGATTTTCATTACAGCCTTTAAACGCCTAGTTGTTGGTTTTAAAAAAAAAAAGTGTCTCCCCCCCCCCAATACCATGTTGCGATTTTTTTAAGGGGATATGCGCGGAAAAAATCACAAAATTTCTCTTTTTTCGTCATGATGGGTTTCTTGCACTGTTGGATACTTTGTCCATTTTTGTATAAAGAAAACAACAACTTTAAAGAGAAAAAAATATTTTATGTGTTATAATTACGATTTTTATGACCCTATTATTTAAAAAATAATCAATTTTTCCCAATCTTACAAGCTCTCTATGAAAAGTTTTATATCCGTCAGTATATGTATTTGACATCATTTGAAAGCTGGATTTCTCATGTATCTAATAAACTTAATTTCCTACATCTCGGAAACACCCAAAGCTTACAATCGGCTTTGCAGTTTACGAAGATATGGTACATTCCTGGCCTAGTTTTTGTTACTTTTGGCTGTTTTTCTCAGTTCGCATGTTTTTAACACTAAAAAGCCTACTACTTTTTTATTTATTAAACAATGCCAACCATATTTTCAGAAGTTGTTCTTCTTGCAAAAATTCAACTTTTGTCACGAGGGAATTGTGATAGCTTTCATAGAAAAAAAAGTATTTGGTAATTAATATGCACATTTTGAAACTTTTGAATACTAAAAAGGGTACGATTTTTTAGACCTTGTAAAATTCTTACTAGTAATTATTTCAAAAAGTTGTCGTGACAAAAGTTTTAATATATACTGAAATATAAGCAGTTTACATTTGATTGCTATAGGTGCATAAATAAAAAAGCCTTAGTATTTTTAAAAGTACCGAAAAATTCAAAATGGCGGAGCTTTTTTGGGTTTCCATGACAACCAAAATTGTTTTCGACCTTTTTTTTTGCTGTTTAAAACTTACTTTTATATGCCAAATATGATAAAAGTATTCAAAAGGCTTTAGATCTTAAACTGTAAAAAATAGAAAAAAACATAGCATATCCCCTTAAACGGATATAACACACCCCTCTCCCCCTCACAGCAAACGCCAACAACGTCACCGAAGGCCCAAGGCCAATAACACGCACCACGTTGGATTTTTTCTTCAACGAGTATATACCCTACCCACCCGCCGCCTTACAACATACCGCATGTCTCTACCAACGGGGTTAAAAGTTTAACTTTGAGTTCAAGAAGGGGAGAGGGTGGTATTCAAACAACGAAGGTGTTTCTTTATAGTACAAATACATAGTTTAAAAAATTATACTTACCGTAACTTACCTACTGCTATAGCATCATACATAATTTTATAAATTAGCTAATTAATTAATTAACTAATTAAATATATCTAATGATAATGAAGGGAGATAGTTTATTTTGGTTAAGGCACGACACACAACACTGTGCGTGCCTGGTATGTGGCCTGACCGACCTAAAAGGAGATTGTTTATATTATTGTTTTGAGTTTATATTTAACTCAATGCAACGAGCCCGCCGGTTGGCTGAGGCCACGCCGGGGGGACGATCTGTCCGGGATTCAAAGGGACGACTCGAAATATCGTCCCATATTTCTAGTGTCCATACTCATTCGCATTTATTAAAATTAAAACTGCATATATCTCTTAGAATATTTTTAAGCATTGCCCTACAACTTAAGAAACATTTAATTTTCAAACACTGATCACACACTACAATATAACCCCCCACGTATCTCTATATGTATACATAAACATAAACATTGATAGATACATACACATAAACAGACATACATATAGTTCTAAACATAATTCATATCTACATTCACGCATTCATACTAATATATACATATCCATAAATTATACACAGACATAGTGAATAATAGACGTATAGATTTAAGCATAGGCATTATATACACATAGTGCACGTACATTTACACTTAACATTTTACAAAGCCTAACAACAATGCTGCCTTTGTTACAAAGCCAACACTATAGCCGAAAGTGAATTGAGTGTTTAAAATACTACTGCAAAGCAAATACGCGACCTTCTGTGGTAAACGATATGGAATGGTCCAGCTCTTCTTAAATAGTACAATGACATACCTTACTCTTATTAGTTTAGTGAACATTCTTTCCAGTGTAGTTAAGTGACCTACCTTGTGATCAAATATTCTGCTGATAAAAAAATGTCCCAAAATGCCTATCGACTTTGTTTTAGATGTTTAAAGATTCATTAACAGTTCACAGCTTATAACGTAACTCCTTAGCTGGCAACATATTGATAAACCTACACAAATATGTATGTCTCCCCCTTTTCCATGTTGCATATCAAAAAATTGTCAAATATTACACCTGCTTTAGGGGACGGAGTGGTCTATAGGTAGCGAGCTGGACTGCTAACCCGTAAGTCTCGAGTTCGAGAGACCGTCCCTGTCCACCCAATTCTGTTGGGTACCTACCGCACGTTAGTACCTAACTCACTTGCTCTATAGATCATCAGGGTTGAAAGGGAACCTCACTTACTTATTACACCTGCTTTAGCTCAGTATTCTGATTAAACTAGAATTCCCAGGATAAGAGGAAAGTAGACCGGCCAAGGAAATCCTTGAGGACAGTAGAAGATGAGTCAAGGGATGCCGGGCTTACGTAGGTGCAAATAAAGTGAGCTGCCCAAAACCTAGTCCAGCGGTGTTGTGTGGTTGCAGCCCTTTGCTGCCTTGGGGAAACGAAGAAGAAGAAAAAAGAATATGTTCATTACACTGTTATCCCTGAATTATTTCTTAACAAAAATTTATCGTAACTTTTGTTTCTTTTTTTTTCCTACTCTAGAACAAGAAGAAACATTAGCCTCAAACTTGAAGACGTAAACAGCGATGATAAAACCAAACTTTTGAGAGAGTCGAACCACGCCCCACCAGACGCCAACCCTCAACCGGACGCCAACCCTCAACCAGACGCCAACCCCACATCCTCTCTGGTTTGGCTACCTCGACGCCCCCTGGTGGACGAGACGCAGCAAGAAAACAAGATGGCGTACTGTTTCCTCCGGTCCCTGATCACCCTGCTGCACGTGACGACCGGCCTGGCTGCCGGCTTCATCTGTGTGTACTCACTCCTTGGTTGGGATAGCGCCTACTGGTGTTTCCCTGGTCTGTTCGGGGGCAGCAGGACAACTATTTTGGGATTCGTAAGTTTTTTTTTGTTTTTTTTTTGGGGGGGGGGGGGTTAAAATCGTTTGCAACAGGACAACTATTTTGGGATTCGTAAGTTTGTTTGTTTTGGGTTGTTTTGGGTTGTTTAGTCGTCTTCAACTGGCCAACTATTTTGGGATTCGTAAGTTTGTTTGTTTTGGGTTGTTTAGTCGTGTTCAACTGGTCAACTATTTTGGGATTCGTAAGTTTGTTTGTTTTGGGTTGTTAAAATTGTCCACAACTGATCAACTATTTTGGGATTCGTAAGTTTGTTTGTTTGTTTTGGGTTGTTAAAATTGTCAGCAACTAGTCAACTATTTTGGGATTCGTAAGTTTGTTTTGGGTTGTTCAACCGTCTTCAACTGATCAACTCTTTTGGGATTCTTAAATGTGTTTGTTTTAGGCTCATTTAATTAAAATCGCGATGCAGCTTATGGGCCAATTATTTAGGCATTCGTAAGTTTGTTTGATTTGGGGTTATTTAAAATCGCGATGTTGCTTTTAGGCCAACTATCTTGGCATTCATAGGCTGAGGTATGTCTTAATTCTACGGGTAGATCTATCTTGAAGAGGGGGGGGGGGGTGTGGGAGGTAAACTTCGTTAAAAAAAGCGTGAGGTGTCACGTTGTTTATGCATGATGGGACCTGGTCCTATACGCAGGGCCGGCGCTGCCTATAAGGCGAACTAGGCGGTCGCCTAGGGCGCCATCCCTAAGGGGGGGGGGGACGCCATCCCTAAGGGGGGGACGCCATCACTAAGGGGGGGGGGCGCAAAAAGGTTTAATCGCTAGTATAAAAAAAAAGCTAATAATTAATAACTTTGATTGTCTTTTATAAATATAGATAGTAATATAGAAGGGAGTAGCGATCTATTACGGCGTCCAGGATGAGCTATCAATTTTGCACCCCCACCCCAATATTAGGTCTATATAGGCCTATATTTATTCGCGATGGTGAAAATGCACCCCCACCTCCCTAATTTGGAAAGGTCGGGGCGCTTTTTACCAGTCACTTTGCCTTTTTATTTTGGTGTCACATAATTGTTGTAGATAACGATTAAATAAGCTCGTAATTTAAATTTCGAACATTTCAAACTGTTATCTAATTTTAATGTTGATTTAGTCATCACTCCAGCGCATGATTGGGCGTTCTAAAACACGTGCAATTTTTGTTTTTAATAGGGCTTGTAAGTCTCGTTTTCTCTGACTTTGAATTTGAAATCTGTTTTGATTTGTGAGTAACGGTGGAAGGCTGTTGCTGTTATGATTTCGTTGGTATGAAATATCGGTTCTTGAAGTGTTAAAGGTGTCGTATTTTTTATTTGGCTGTTGTCGTGTAGTTGAAGGTCGAATTGAATCTGATTGGTAGTAGAGAAATGAGAATGTAGGTGCTGGAGTATCGTTGTTCTGGGGGTCCGGGAGTATCGAGCCTTGCGGTATTAAGGTATCGAAATGTGTTAAATTTTAACGTGTAGTAGTAGGTCTCGTGAAATCGTTGTTGATTTGGAGTATTGCTTGTAGACTTTGGTGAAGTTAAGCGAGTCGGTGTCGTAGTTCTGGAGCATCGAGTCTAGTTATGTTTAGGTATCGCAGTTTAATATGTGTTGTGAATGTAGTAGAGTATATTATCGAGTAGTCGAGTTTATCGAAAGCTACATTATTTCCATTCAGGACAGAACACACTACAAAGAAAGGTAGGCATTCTCTAGCTGAAAAATCTTTAGTTTTTTAGGAATCTATATTACCACTCTAAAATAATAATATATAATACGAGCCGACCCGCGGCGTATTATACGCCGCTATTTAGTTGTTATATTTTCTACTTTTCAGTAATTCATAATTTGTGAATTTGACAGTACCAATACTGCCACTGAATATATTTGCTTTAAAACACTATCAGTAGCTTGTTAAGGACGATACCCCCCCTCCATTCCCCAAACCCCCCCCCCCCACCAACCCCCCCCCCCCCCCCCCGTGAAGGCAGCCTCCTCTTAGTTACCTCCCCTAAGTTTAAAATCGTTTCAAACTAAATTATCTGCCCCTAATAGCCGTCACAAAACCCGGCTCTACGATTGTAAACATTTAGCGTGAACCACAGCTCACCAGATCATATAGGGGTGGGGGTTGTAGGGAGCGCGCTTACAGCTTGGAGAATTATACATAAAGATTAGGCCAGAATTTATAACTAGCCGTAAACATTGGTTTTATTTTTTCAAATTATATTTTTAAAATTTTTTAATCAATATTTATAGCAAGAGCTTAAAAAGTTAAAGGAATCAAAATTGGTGGGTGATTTAGGGAATCCCATGCAAATGTATGTCATCAAAATTGACTAGAAGTATGTTATAATACAACTACCGTGTTTAGACTTTCAAACACAATCTACAGTTAAGGGGGGAACGGTAGTGAAAACACATTTTCTCACAAATTATAAGATACATGCTTGTTTGAAATTGTATTAACTTTAAAATACTTTAAACATTATAACACTGTATTTATTTTGGCCAATTTATACATTTATTGCGAAATTTGGGGTCAAATTGAACAATTTTTTATGTACTCAGTAGAAACAAAATAACTAATAAAATAGATAAAAACAATGCAATGTAACTTTGCACATTCCTAGTAGACATGACAAAGGACGGTTTGTTAAAGGGAAATTTTGATATCTTACAAAATGAATTTTTTGTGAAATTTTTAAAATGAATTTTTAAAAATTCGAATGATCTTCTTTGAAAACAATACTAAAACTTGCACAACTTTTTTAACAATTGAAGTATGGCCAAACCCCTTTGCATGTTTATAGATACATATGTTTGTTACATACTGTGGCCATTTCATGTATTTCTAATAGGCACATTTTGAGTTAAATTGTTTCCCCCGAGTTCTATAGAGTAAAATTTACAAAACTGAGAAAACTCAAAATGAAGCTTTATTGTGTAAATATTTTATCATATAAATGTATTTATTAGCAAAATAATGAATAGCCTTGATAAATAACCACTTTTCCGATAATATTATTGGGGGAAACAGTAGCTTACATCACTTACAAAAAAAAATAAAAAAAATAAAGTTCGATGTCAACCTTCACTAGATATCAAAATCACCAAAAAATAAGATATACAAAAATGATTTTAGTTGAAAAATTTGAAATTTTTCAAGAAAGTTGACTACCGGTCCCCTTAAGTAGTCAATGAGTAAAATATTTTTTTTGACATGGTTACATAGCTTATATACAAGATATCTTATAATTATTACCTAATGAGCTTTAGAGCGTTTTATTTTGGTTTTCAAGCATGTTTTAGTTACACTTGCTTAATTTAGCTATTCTATGTGAATGTTATTTCCCTTGAATAAAATTTTGGTATTTTTATTTCCAAATGGGAGATAATTCGTTGCATTCTTGATTATAAATTTTAATACAACTGGTAGTTATTACTTGCTATTGTAAAAATTACACAGAGCAGAAGTTCTAAACAAAAGTTTGGTAGGTTTTTTTTTAGCATTATCAGGTTGAAAAAGAAATACATCAGTAGCCGTTGTAGATTGCAATACTTAATGTTAGTAGACATACATTACGCGATAGTGCAACAAATGCGTCTAAAATCGTCTTAGTCGCAAATTAATCATCTAATTAAATGTCTTTTTCATATTTTTCACCCTCCCCTAAACGTTTCATATATAACGATTGTAGGCTGGAATTTATAACATTTATAACCTTTTATTTTTCAAAAAAAAAAATCGTTACATAATCACACAATATAGACATTTAACAATTTTAACTAAAGGCAGCCAAGCCAGAAACAGGTAAGTTTCGCTCTGGAACTCACCTTGGGAGATCTGTAGAGAGCCCAACACTACAAGAACTGTGTTTTGTCCCCAGTATTTTTACCCCCAGACTTTTTTCTTCCGGGAGGGGGGGGGGGGTGGGAGCACTTGAAATTTTCTGAGGGGGAAGGGGGGGGGGAGACTATGTCGTAAAGTACAAAGGTACAAAGTAGACTCGTGGACTTAGCAACAATTTCAATAGAATGTGATTACGCTTTCAAACTGGAATTGAAGGAATTAGTACAAACTTTTGCGACGATACAGGCAAGTAAAATTTGATTGGGATGTGTACTTATAACGTGTATGCAATTGATAATAAATCAATATGTCGCTTTTTATTAATTGTTTTCTTATACATATGTTTTAGTAATTAATTTGTGTGAACCGGAGCGTTTTAATAAGTTTTGCCTAGGCAGTGTTTCTTCCAGACTTTTTTCTCCGGGGGGGGGGGGGGCGGGACCACTTGATATTTCCGGGGGGACGGGGGGGGGGGGGGGACACTGGTAAAGTATATATTTTCTATATAAATTCCATTTCGTTCGGGTTGGGGCGAGAGAGATGCCTGGAAGAAACTCTGTGCCTAGGGCGCTAAGTAACCTGGCGCCGGTACTGCCTGTAAGCGAGAGACATTGAGAGACGTAGAGAGTGGGGAAGGGGAAGACTGGGAGAGGAGAGTTTATCAAGGTCATGTGTCTGGCCTTTTTCCGAGCTACCATATCGATTATTATGTCGTTCGCAAATTTTGTGTTAAATAGAAGTCGAGGGGCAACGCGTGGAGATGCCAACATAAGGCTCTGGGGTTCAAATCCCAGCTGTGACAGGAAGACGTAATGAACGCCCATTAACTTCTGTAGCTTTAATGAATACCCGACATAATTTGGAGTACATTGAAAATAAACTAAACGTTCCGCTGATAGAGTTTATTCTCAATGGAGTGGTCTAAATCTGCTTTATTCTTCGATAAGTAACGAAAAGATACTTGATTTTTACCGTGAAGGGACCTCCCCCCCTCCCCCCCCCCCCCCCCCCCCCAAAAAAAAAATAATGGATCAGTCCGTTTTTGGTTTTATCAAAATCGAGCTTTATGTTTTACAATATCAAATGCAATAGTACATTTACTCAACAGATTGAATATTTTAAATACATGTTTAAAAAAAAAAATAAAGCAATGACTATGCCTGAGTGTGTTTCGATCCTTGTCCCACAGCTCAACGACCAGCAGCTGGTCTGTGATGGCGTCCTGTTTGCCCTGGGTGGGGTCTGTGTCATGAACCTCATGATGAGCCTGACCATCAACTTCTGCTGGGCCAGTGACTGGTCAGTTTCTCTTTGCCTTCATCAGTTTGTTAAGGTCACTTCGTCACTTGACCAAGGTCACTTGACGAAAATTACTTTATTAAGGTCGCGTTAGTAAGGTCAACGCACGTAGGTCATGTTATATATGTCATTTTACCAAGGTCACGTACGTAGGTCTCTTTATCAAGGTCACTTTATTAAGGTTAATTTACCAAGGTCACTTTACCAATGTCACTTTACCAAGGTCACTTTACCAAGGTCACTTTACCAATGTCACTTGACCAATGTAATTTGACCAAGGTCACTTGACCAAGGTCACTTGACCAAAATCACTTTTCCAAGGTCACCTTACCAAGGTCAGTGTAAGTAGGTCACGTTACCAATGTCACTTTACCAAGGTTACTTTACAATGGTGTAACTACAAGGCTGGAGACTTAAATAAAGTAATATTTATATAGCTACATGTGTACACATAAACACAAATATGATTTAATTTCCTACATGCCGGAATAAATGCCACTCTGATCTGCCCCCCCCCCCCCCTCCCTAAACTTGTGCAAATACAACCTTTTAAAGTCTAATTCTTTTAGACTTGTTTTTATACATGCATTTTTATCTACCTGAGTAACAACGAAATTCCAATATGTTAGATGGATTATACTAAAAGAAGTTACCAATTTTGTAATTTCAGTTTTTTTTAAACCTTTTAAAGCCTAAAAAAAAAACTCGTGCATAAAAAATTTACACTGATAGTGTAGATTTGATTTTTGTTATGTAGAAGTTTAAGTATTATTGGGGTTTAATTACTTTTGCAGCATCGCCTATCTACATTTGGTGATGTCCCTTCTCTTTGGTGCCTTGATGGTGTTCGGTGGTGGTGTCTTCACCTACCACTACATGATGTGGTGCGACTCCATGGAGAGGGTAACTAACATCTACAGGTATGTGGTTTACATTTTCATTTTTACTGTGTTATCCCCCTTTGATAGAATTATTTTTATCCAGTTTTTTTTCCCAAAATCATCATCTTTTCCCGTTCGTGCCCAAGACACATGAGGCAGATTAAATAGATTTAATCTTTTTCAGAGACCTATGAATGGATAGTGTGGTTAGCACTATTCTTAGCCGCATTTGCGTTCCCTATCGTGAATTGGGTACCCATCAGAACTGGGTAGACTCGGACGGTCTACTGACTTGAACTCGAGACTTTCGGGTTAGCAGTCTAGCTCTCTACTCTTAGGCCACCCTTTCCCATTATTTCCAGAATAGAAAATTTAAATAATTAATTTCGTGTATTTGTTTTTACCCATCCAATTGTGACATATCAAAATGCAATGTATTGTGATTCTCGTTAATGATTTGCCTAACACCAATATCTTTAGAGGTATCTTTTTCGCTATTACGCTTGTTCACCCATCTTACTTTATAAGGTTCTGATATTAAGCACAACAAACTGCTGTATGTCCATATACATCTCTTCTCGACCTGATTCATAACCCACCACCGATGTAACCTAAATATTTCTCTTTAGGTCAAGTTAGGGTTAAGGTTCAAACTCTTTAGTCTTTAATTTTGACCCGTCGTTTTTTTTTTTCTATGTTGTTTCGGTTTCTGCAAAATACATTTTTAAATGCAAGATTTTGTACGTTACTGCTATGTATCATAGTATTCACGTCATCTAATCTCTTGGTAATCACGTTCTTAATCTGGTTATAACATTTTTACCAGTGTACTACATCCGGTATTTTAAAAATGCAAATACTCCAACCGTTCTTATTTGTTTTTATTTCACATCAAAGTTCACAGACGCATTAATTTTTTTAGCTTCAGTTTAGCTTTTTAGAACTACTTTGTATGTATATACAGGAAGGGATGGGTCCAGTGTTTCTTTCAGGCATTTCTTCGGGGACGGGGGTGGCACCTCCCTCCGAAACACGTCTACCGCCCCCACCCCCGAATGAAATAGAATTTATAAATAGAGAAAATTATATACTTTGACCCGTATCCGCGCTCCCCCCCCCCCCCCCCCCGGGAAAATTTAGCCTGCCCATGAAATTTTTAAGTGCCCCACGGAGAGAAAAAAAGTCTGAAAGAAACACTGACTGGATGGTTCAGTGGTAAAGGCAAAGTCTCCAACTGACTCTAATCAGTACCTGATTCGAGTATGGTAAAAAAAAACCAGTGGATTTGATCAGTGTTGTCCATTCAACCCTTTCATTCTCTAGGTCACAATGAGACGATGTTTTAATGTACTTCATCTCCCCCCCCCCCCCCTCCCACACACATACACAGAGATTTTTAGATCCCAAATAGTGTTTAGAATAATTAATGAGAATTAAGCTCTTTATTGACATTAATCTCGCTTGCTCACTCATGTAACCTTGACCGTCTGACAGCTGTACCAGAGCGGCCAGCACTTTGTTCAGCGCCAACGGTACCTCCATGACCACCTACAAGAGGATGATCGAGATCCAGCAGGTAAGACCTTGCTCAGCGAGTCCTTGTTTCATCCTTCATAAAACGTTTCAAAGTTGTTTTTTTACATTGGTTATGGCGCTTTCTGAAACTTCGAACCCAATATACAAAGTTATTTTTTCCTCAATGTTATGAAGACTTAAGTATTTATTTTAGCACTGTTAACACGTTCGGATTGTGTTCTTCGGTTAGTACTATTGTAAACACTGAAAATGTGGATATGTTACTAGCAATGTTCCCTCTAAGCTGCGCGGTATAGGGACTCCTATGTGTTATGTGATACGCTAATATAGTTTACAAGACGTTTGAAAGATCTCCATTTTAAACAAAAAAACCAGTGAAATTGAAACATTTATTTTAATGTATGATCGAGGTTTTATTCCGTTACTTGATGATATTATGTCATACCTTTATATGTTTTTACCTTTATTTTAAGATATCATTCTATAGCAGTTGACTAAAAGTACCTGTCGATCCCAATTATGTCGATCCCAATTATGTCGATCCCAATTATGTCGATCCCAATTATGTCGATCCCAATTATGTCGATCCCAATTATGTCGATCCCAATTATGTAGATCCCAATTATGTCGGTGTGGTTGAGTGGGTAAAGCTTATGGTTGCTAAACCGAAAAGTCTCGAGTTCGAACCCTCGGGCAGATGAGGCTCGATAGCTGGGGACAGCCACTCTTCTAGGAGAGACAACTCCAAAATTAAAAACAACTGCTGCCTTGTAGTTTGTTCTTGGTTGGACAAAGGCTATGGAAGCAAATCCAAAAAGAAAAGCAGGCAGTCAATGGCCTCAATGGCGCATAACCAGTTGAAACGTAACGCTTAATTGTGTTGGAGGCGCGGTCGAGTCGGCAAAAAGCTCATGGTTGATAAATTCGAACAAAGTCTCGAGTTTAAACCCACTGGCAGATAAATCTCGATCCCCTTCAACACTAATAATTAAGAACGAAGAAGAAGAAGAAGATGTCGATCCCAATTATGTCGATCCCAATTATGTCGATCCCAATTATGTCGATCCCAATTATGTCGATCCCAATTATGTCGATCCCAATTATGTCGATCCCAATTATATCGGGGTAGTAATACGTCTATTTAGACCATTTGGTCTATTTTGTTGTCATGATCATTTTGGTTGTAGATTTATTTCCGGGTTGTGTTTGCCATTTAGCTACTTTTGTATTGGTTCGCATCACGCTCTGTCATGTTTATATCATAAGTCAGTCACCTCTTCAACTGCTGAGATCATCATTTACATCACCTCACATTCTTGTTCACATCACTATTTAAGGGGGAAAAAAAGTAAAGTTCCCTTTTCAAACCTGACGGTCTATAGAGTAAGTGAAGTAGAGCTCACTTGTTTCTGTGACCTCGACATTCGAAGAGATACTGTGGTCAGCACTATGCCCAGCTGCCTGTACTTTCCCTAACGTGAGTTGGGTACCCATGAGAGTTGGGTGGACTCAGGGACGGACTACTGACTTGAACCCGGATTCGAACTCGAGACTTAGTTAGCAGTCCAGCTCTCTACCGCTTGACCACTCCATCCCATATCACCATTTGGTCACCTTATATTTCTTGTTCTGATCACCACTTTGGTCACCATTTTTCCTTGTCCATATCACCATTTGGTCACTTTATATTTCTTGTTTTGATCACCACTTTGGTCACCATTTTTTCCTTATCCAGATCACCATTTGGTCCCTGTTTCCGGTCACCTTCTTCACGGTGCTGGCCTACGTCCTGGCACTGCGCCTGACCTCCAGGAACGGACGTCGCGTCAGGACCGGCTCCTACGTTCTCGTAGACGACGAGGGCGCGCCCCTGATCGACCCCCGGCGCCACTCGCGCACCGGGCGCGTCACCGTCCTTACCCGCACCCACGCTGTGGTCAGCAGACGCTCCTACGAGCCCGACCAGGTCCCCCCCTACACGGAAGCCGCCCCACCCAGTTACTACAGTGTGTCCAGCGTGTCCTCCGTCCCTCGGATCTCTACCCACAATGCCCCGGTGCAGACCAGCGTTCCCCGGAATGATCACCATGACAACGAGGGAGGTCAGAGGTCAACAGAGGACCCGCCCAGGATGACCCCGGTCTTCATGACGAGCGACAGCTCTACCCCCAACTGCCCGACCGGGAATCTAATTAACCTGTAGCTTTAATTAACTAATGATATGTTGATGAGATATCAGAAAAACCTCGAGTTGACTGATTAAATTAGTATTGATGTACATTGATGTGAGATAGAGCAGTAGATTTACACTTTACTCATGTTCACTTAGATTTACAGCATTAGTATCAGGTGTGTGATTTACGTGGCATTAGCCATCGTCTCACATCTCTGAACTCTGTTCAGAAAATTCAGATTAGAAAATTCTTAGAAGAAATTTTTGTAAATATCTTTTTTTTTTTCAGAAACAAATTCTAACACATCATTTATTTTTCTAAATTATTTAAAAGAAACTGTCATTTAGAAATTATATATTTATCTGGATCGAAAAAGTTAATGTAAGCTTAGGATTACTATGATACCAAATTTGTTACTAATCATTGCATATACGTTTTCTGTTTTCAATGTTGCAAGAACTTCACTGTGTTGTTAAATGTTGAGTTCACACAATAATTTTGTATATAGCACCCAACAGGTTGGATAGTCCAGGCGGTTGTAGCATGACAGACAGCTAGACTGTCAAACATTTGGGTGTAGCATGACATACAGCAAGACTGTCAAACATTTGGGTGTAGCATGACAGACAGCAAGACTGTCAAACATTTGGGTGTAGCATCACAGACACACTGCGTAGCATGACGTTGTTGTAGCCACACGTTGTAGTAGTATTACAGACACACAGACAGACAAACACAGACTTTGTTATTTAACATTTTGGTGTAGCTTCACAGCATAGCACGACAGACACACACACTAACACAGCTAGACTTTTATGTCCAACATTTTGTTGTAGCCTTAGTCTAACACGACAGACACACACACTAACACAGCTAGACTTTGCTGTCCAACATTTGTTGTGTTCACATTTTAATTGTCATTTTTTCCACAAATAAAACACTGTTCAAACACAAACTACTCGTGTTATTTTATTTTAATTTTATTGTTCCGTCTCTATAAAAATTCCTGTTTTTTTAAAACCCGAGTTCATTCGAAATCATAGATAGCAAGTTGTAATTACCCATTCGGCTGCAGTAGCTAGACTGCTAACCCGATAGTCACGAGTACGAATCCGGGTTCAATTCAGTAGAAGTCTCCGAGTCCACCCAGCTCTGATGAGTACCTAAATTAGGTTAGGGTAAGTAAACGCGGCTGTGCATAGTGCTGACTACACTATCCCTTCATGTGTCGAGGTCAATGAATCAGATGAACTCTACTTCATCTGCCCTATGTGTCTTGGGCACAAACGTGATTAAGAAGAGAAGATTCGGCTGCAGTGGTTAAAAAAAATAGCATCTATTTGGTTTTAAATTTAAATGTGGGAATACTCGAATGAAACAGGATAGAGAGTTTACGTTTTTTTATTTATTCTCAACAACGGTATTAAAACCAAGGAAATTGTTCACATAGTATTTATAAGAAAAGTTTAAGACATATAACCTAAAACCTATCTCGTATAAATATATATAAAACTTTTCATACTTGGAATAATTTTTAAACTGCTGTTACTAATGTTTTGGTTAAAGAACAAAGTATCTTTAATATAATTATAATAGCTTCAATTCTTCGAGGAAGGTCTCAGCCAACGAGCTTAGCGCAAGGGATAAACTGAAAAAGAAATTGTATTAATACACCGAAATACACGTTACATATATGTGCTTACATACAGTTTTTCATGGAAAACCATAGTGTATTTGAGTGTATTTTTATATAAGAGGTCGTCCATAAATGACGTCACACTCGTAGGGGGGAGGGGGGTCCGTAATTTTGTGACGGTGTGTGATGAGGGGGAGGGGCGGTGGTCTGATAGTGTGACGTCACTTTTTGGCATTATAAAAAAGCAATGTTAGAAAACGAGGTTCAGCCGTTATTTCGCGTTTTAGAAAACGGTTTTAATAAATTGTAATAGGAATTGACCAAAATACTCTATGTTGACAGATATCTGACAAGAATTTTGAAGGGGGTTGTAGGCTGAGGTGTGACGTTATTTTAGGGCCGGTCTGGCTTTTTGTGACGACGTGTAACGGGGGGAGGGTAGGTAAAAATCGTCAAAAAAAAGCGTGACGTCATTTATGGATGACCCCCCCAAGTACAAGACGGGGTGATACATTACAATGATGCCTACTGGTCAGTGCATAGAATGACAGAATGATTTAATTTTAGCAACCGTCTGATTATAAATATCCCAAAATAGAACCACGCATGATCTGACCTAATTACAAGACAAACACAAGCGTGAATCGTCAATTCTAGAAGTGCTATTTTTTTTGCAATTTAAAATTAAAATTCTTTTAAAAAGAAAAATAAGAATAAATTTCACTCGAAAATTAGTGTCTGTCCGTACATAAGTATATGTGTATAAGTAAATATTTATCCCATATACTGTACATTTAATATTTCTATTTAAATACCAAAGTAACTCCAGGCTTAATGACAGCACTGACGCTAACATAATCAAAAATTTAAAAAAAAACTAGGATCACCCAGATCTTTACCAATCTCTGTCACTTGTTCTAATTAGGATGATGTCATCGTCATCCTCCCCCACCCCCCACCCCCTCAGATCCTCTCTCACCTGAGTGACGTGTCACCTGTCTTTGTTTCTTTCTGCCCTCGCCCAAGGTCATGTTATCTCATGTGATGCTGACGAGTGGTTCTAACGTTAGGACAACCAGCGTCTTGTTGTGGTCTAGTATGGCCTAATTTTAAGACAGTGTCCTGTTATGGTCTAGTGTTGTCTAACTTTACAACAACCAGCGTCTTGTTATGGTCTAGTGTGGTCTAATTTTAGCACAACCAGCGTCTTGTGATGGTCTAGTGTTGTCTAACTTTACAACAACCAGCGTCTTGTGATGGTCTAGTGTTGTCTAACTTTAGCACAACCAGCGTCTTGTGATGGTCTAGTATGGTCTAACTTTAGGACAACCATTATCTTGTTGTGGTCTAGTGTTGTCTAACTTTACAACAACCAGCGTCTTGTGATGGTCTAGTGTGGTCTAGCTTTACAACAACCAGCGTCTTGTGATGGTCTAGTGCGGTCACAGATAGAGCGTATCTAAGATTCATTATGCTGGTGGTTCTACTCTAAACCTAGCCTTCAGTGTTTCTTCCAGACTTTTTTCTCCGGGGAAGGGGGCACTTGAAATTTTCGGGGGGGGGGGGGGGCGGTAGACTTTCTTCGGGGGGGGGGGGGGGGAACACTGTTAAAAGTATATATTTTCTATAAAAAATTATAAAAATTTCATTTCGTTCGGGGGGGGGGGGGCGGAAATTTTTTTTCCGGGGGGGGGGGGGGGGGTGGCTCCAACCCCCCCCCCCCTAAAGAGATGCCTGGAAGAAACTCTGCTAGCCATGAACTCAGAGTTTCTTTCAGGCATCTCTTCAAGGGACGGAGAGTGGGCAGATATCCCCCTATCCTCTCAAAGAATGTCCTAATCACCCCTACCCCCCCCCCCACCCTCTCTTCCGGACTAAATATAAAATATATCTAATTAATATAGAAAATATATACTTTAACACACGGAAACTATAAATGCCGCTACCCCACCTTCCCGAAGAAAAAAATATCTGAAAGAAACCCTGCATGAACTTTGACCATACTCCAGAGGCGTAGCGAGGGGGGGGGGGGGGCGGGGGGGACATATGTCCCCGGGCGCCGACCTAAGGGGGGGCGCCATATTGAAAGTTTGAGGGGGGTGTGCAAATGAAAAGTTCGAGGGGGGGGGTGCAAATCGAAAGTTTGAGGGGGGGTGCAAATGAAAAGTTCGAGGGGGGGGGGGTGCAAATCGAAAATTTGCTCCCGAGGGGGGCGCCAAATCGAAAGTATGTCCCCGGGCGCCGGGAAGGGTCGTTACGCCTCTGCCCTACTCTAAACCCATCCCGTATCTTAGTCTATAAATATAGCTCCTCCAGTGAACTAGCCCGAACCCAACCCTCCAGAGATACAAAGGACGAAACCCAGAAAGAAAGGACAAGATAGACGGTCACACTTCTAACTTACCTAAAGGGCCTTATATCAGAAGACATACATCTTAAATAGACATCGATCGGCACTTAACAACATTGCCAAAGTAGGTTCCTTAGGGCATATGCCCTTACTCTAATGTTTCTCTTTTTCTATCCAATTAATTGATCATTTTGATAGCTTACTCCTTCATATATTTCAAAGGAACTAAGAAGGTAGATAACTCAGCTCGACAGTAATTGAATTACTTGCTTAAGTTATCTCCATTTTCCATATAATTCTTATTTGTTTAGCGAGGCATAATTGAGCTGCGAAATTAAGCTCTGTATAGCAAGATGGACAGCTGACCTGTAATGATCAATACGTTAACGTTTCCTTGAATTAGCTCTTAAGTTTTAATTAGACCGCTGATGTCTTGCTTCTAAGAAAATTAGACTCCAAACATATAATTTTACCTCGGTGATTATCAATGGGAAAAAAAACCCATTGTCATGTGTAAGTTAAATATCTTTCTGTAAGCCTTTTTGAATACCTATACAAATGTCGAATTCTCAAAACACTATTACAATCTCATAACTATACTACAATCTCATAACTCTATAGCAATCTTACAACTATGAGAGTCTCAGAATTTTATTACAATCTCATAACTCTATTACAATCTCATAACTATATTACAATCTCATAACTATATTACAATCTCATAACTATATTACAATCTCATAACTATATTACAATCTCATAACTCTAATACAATCTTATAACTCATATTATTTTTAACTCTTTGACAATCCATTCTCTCAAATCTCTTACCATCTCACCCCCCCCCTATACTTCTCCCCTCATCACCCCACTGCCTTCTCCACCTCCCCAGCTTCCCATCTCCTAGACTCACCTCCTCTTTACCAAAAGTCTACCCCACCCCCTCAACATTTCCCCTACATGATTTTCCTCATTTTTTTTAAATTACTGCAATTTAAATAAAATTGAATAGACGTAACAATAGCGATCCCTTGTCAAACAGCTATGTTCTGCTGTGTGTATAATATTACCATATGAAAATGATTACAATATGTTTGTCATAACGCATAACCACATGTTTAAAACATGCATTGTAGGCATACAATATGACAAACTTAAGTCAAATATACAAACTAGGCGCAGTGTGGCGCACATACAAGGCACTTGTGGCGTGTGGTTCACATACAAGGCACTTGTTGTGGTGTGTGGCGCACATCCAAGGCACTGAACCTCACTCACCCCGGTACAATCTATCACGTTTCACCTCCCCTCCTCACCCACCTGTATAACCGACGTCACAAGCAATTATTCTTCCAACCGTTTCTCATTAGACAGGTGTCTAATCTTTTACTTTGATGCATCTGTGTTTGCACCTGACACCACCACTCCACCCCCCCCCCCCCCCGACCTACTCTCATCTCCAATCCTTCTTTTCTTCAACAATTTTTTCCTACCATAATGTGTATGGAAGGGTGGAGGGGGATTACGTCTCTTAAAATATACATGTATTTAGCCACAAATAAACGAGCGAACAACTTTCTTTTTACTTAAAGATAGCAATTCAATTCAACAGCTGTTATTTTCTTGAAACTAAAATTATGTTAATTTTAAGTCAATGCCTAACTATACTTGAACCCTCCGTTTCATGAATTAATTTTGTGAAAGCTTTTTGAAAAAAAAAACTTACATGGTAGGCTGTGATGTGTAGAGAGCATAAATAATGAGGAAATTTAATTATTTTATTAAATAATGTTAATTTAGAAAAATAACAGTATGTAGCAATTTCGCTACGTTATCCAACGGTAGGTATAAATATGTAAAAATAGAAAACCAAACCCGTATTGTCAACAAAAACCGTCAGATCGTACAGCAGCTTTGTTTTCACTAGTAAACCAAATTAGCCTTAGCCTTAGCTATAATTTTTATTCAAA